CAAAAGCGGTTGAGTTCTGGGAGGAAAAGCCCACCACCTGATTCGGCCGAAGTGCGCCGCCAGGAAAGCCTGGCGAACGTCAAGAAGGCGATGGGTCCTGACTGGTACCTTAAGAAGAAAAAGAGGCGCAGCCGCCCTCGCAAGCTGACCGCCCGAAACTTCAAGTACATCGAGCAAAAGAAGCAGCAGAAGAGCAAGTAATGGTAAATATACCCTTTTAGGCCCCCATTTTCCTACTTATTTTGTTTTAGTATACTGGCTGACGGTGCGAGGCTTGGAGCGATAAGCTGACTATAGTGCTGACTCGCCTACAAAGCGTAGCGCGCTTCATAAAATATGAGCACATGGAATCAACTGTGTACCACTGCAAGCTGGTCGTTCCTATCCGCATACGCGTCACCGTAGATGGCACGTACACTCGCCCACGTGGACACACGCAAAACCATGATATCTGTACCATCAGCGCTTATAGCGTATATTTCCACAAATTTAAACTTCAGTATTGAGTGGGAGCTACGTGCGACGAATAAGCTGCTGTTTGCATAGATACTACCACTGCGTGACAGTGCAGACCGTACAGATGGACGTGGCAAGTCAATGTGTCTGAACGCAATATTGTACTTTAGTGTCCTGTCCATAATGACCGAGATGAGAGCTCGGTTGTGTCGCGGATCACGGTGTACCCGCCGCGCGCGAATTTATCGCATTGGCTATTGCTAACAGAAGGTGTACCCGCCGCACGCGTATAAAACACTACTACTAGCAGACATGTGGTCAGCTTGCCTATATCGCTGCGGTATGGCCTGTGCCCAATTAGTGACGTGCTGGATCATATAGACGGATACATCATAATCGTAGGTACAGTAAGCTAGCACGACGATGCAAAAGTACCGAGATCGCAGCGGTGCTCAATGCATAGGTGTTGGATATCACGGCCACACCCATTGGCGACATTGCGGGATTTGCACGGACACATCAAATAGCACGCCGGGCTGTTAGGTAGGTAGCGTAAGTACTTCATCTAATGTACATGAGCTAGGTTTCGATTCAAGGCTAAGGTATCTACGAGCTGATAATTTGCCTACAGCCATGTGGCTTCATATGTTTGGCATACATATGGGCACCAGTAAATGACACTCGGAAAGCATCTACACCACTCTGTCAGTCAGTAGCTATGCAAATAAGTCAGTAAATACGTCAGCTATGCAAGTAAGATCAATGCATGCGGAATATAGTGGAAAGATGCTACAGTATTATCATAAAGAGCTCAGCGGAACTGTTGCAAAGCATAATATTGGTGTTTGTGGCGATCATTGGCAAAACAAAATTCTGTCCTAAAAGATACTTCGCGCGGAAGGCCGACCAAACCTTGCTCTAATAGACCGTCGCAAGCAATGATATGGTGTCGACTGCCTCATCGCGATGACGTGACAGATGGTATTATGTTTGACTAGGCGTATTTAGACCACCAAACTAGGATTCCCACCGATCTATGCCAATTCCGTAGCATCATGGATACTGACCCGTCTTCTGAACAGCATATATTACATTTGCAACCACGCGCGCCTCCGATTGGCGTCATTGTGGGAGATATGCGCTCAAATGAGATTATAGCCAAATCCTTCTCGGGTAAGATGGTGCTCATCTTGCAGATCACGGGAAACCCTGGTCATGTCTACCATAACATGTGAACTCTATAAATACTGTGTGCGGTGTTCTTTTGGAGCGTAACATAAGTAGATCACAGTATACATTTATTATATGTAGCTTCGCTCTAAGTAGAAACTCTAAGCACACCGCAGCGCAGCGGAGGTGTCCAGCCCACACTACACCAACCAGCCCTGCCCTAGCGTCCGCGGAGCGGGCGCCCAGAGAGCTAGTCCTAAAGTATCAAGGCTAGCACGGTGTCCGTCCGTCCGTCACACGAAAGGCTCAGATTTCTGAGCCTTCCCATTGGCTGCCGAGCGGAGCGAAGGCGGCATCGATTGGTTAAAACGGAATTATGTAATTTACATCAATAAATTCATGTGGTTCACAGAGATTTGCACAAGTCTATCCATTATCCGAAGGCGGCATCGTTTTAATATACGAAGTATAATATTTACCATTTTAATAATATTAATACATGTTGCTTTTAATATTTGAGTGCTAAACAGAAAGAGCTATTTATTCTCAAATAAGAAATTCCCTAAAGATGCTTCCAATGCTGCGACGTGCTTAACCTACACGTTGGAATGCGTGTTTCCAAGGACATACTATAAGTATACGTAATAGTATGTACTTAGTAGGTTTTGCAAGCTATTGTAGCTGTTTTGTTGTAGAAATATTAATAAATTAGTTGAGAGTGAGGTAACTGACTGAACTGCCAAATCATAGTACATGTACAACAGAAGATGGCCGTAAGAACAACGCTTTGTTAATAAGCGATCCATAAAGATAGATACTGTAGTTTTAGATTGAACAAAATGAGCTCATATGTGTTACTGCTGTAAACCATTGTTTTCTACGAGTTGTTTAGACAGCAAAATCCGATACTACTTAGCTGGCGGACGTGTCGTCGACAGGGGCGTAGGATACGATTTTAAATGGAGCGGCAATACAACAACAAAACACGAGAGGTGTGATATATAGTTGGTTAAGTAGACCCCATAATGAAACGCTAATAAACGTTGGAGCTTAAATGACGTCGAATAATTATGGAATCATCGTTACATTATCAAATACAAAATCACCAGCAACAGCAGCAAGGCGCCTTGCGACACAATATCCAAATGCTTCAATTATAACTGGCACAGACTCGGGTGCTTATTCTGAATCAGCACAAAATGAACGCTACATACATTAAAATCGTACAATTTGAATATTGTTTAGCTTTCATTGAGTTTGATATGAGAAGTGAACAATCTTTATTAATAGTTACTTACAAGCTGAATTAGGCAGTACAGACAGGTAAGTAGTGCAAGCTGGACAGGCCATTACTATCGTTTGCGCTGATGTGAGCTAAGTTTCATAGCGGCTCAGAAATGGCCCGTTATATCGAGCACGACGCTAAACTAAACGTATTGTGTTGCGCTTGTATAAATGTTATTTGAAGTGCTGGTGGTTTTGGGTGGAAGATGAAGATACAGTGATAGCCAGCAACAAAAAAGAGATTGTATCAAGAATCTTGATTCACGAGAGGTGAAAATTATACACCTTTGCCAGTCCAAATCGGCGACAGTGTAAAGCAAAGCGGTGTGAAGTAACTTAAGTGACAAAGAAATTTTTATTTTTTATTTTCAAAAATTGACTTTAGAGCAATGGCGATTTAGCGCAGAGCTAACTGGTGGTCAAAACAAGTTAAAAAAAGTCCATCCTGTCTTCGCCCTTTTCCGAGCACCATCGTACCCGGCACCCCCGCGTTGATACTCCATCTCATGCTACCTCGGTCGTTGTCGACACGTGCAAAATGCAACTTAGGCCACACACTCGACACGCAGACAGAGCCGTCGCGACTGGGCGATGCTAGACGACTCCATGAGCATGCGGAAGATAAGCTCCTCGCTGTAGCCTGCCTTGTCCAGCATCGTGATGCGCTCCAGCGGCTTGAACCAGCGCACGCGTCTCCGCCGATGTCGTCCTGCGGTTGCCTGCCTGTCCCCCGCCTGTGTTTTCTCCCGCTGATGCTGCGCCGCGTTCACTGAAGTCCTCCACACACATTGCGGGGTTCGAGCCAGCCCCACCGCTGGACCACCGCGTCGAGGCACTGCGCTGCCGCCGATGCCCACGCCGAACTCGTAGACGGTGACGGTGGACCAGCGTACGCTCTTGCTCGCCATGGCTGCTGTGTATGTGGCTGTTGGACTGGGGCGAGGAAGGAATGGAGGAAAGACCCAGAAGGCGTCGGCTGTATGTCGTTCACGCGCCCCTCCCGGGTAACCACTCACTCGCGCCGCTGCCATGCAAGCACCAGATTTGGTGGATCTGCTCCATCCACTTACAAACACTCAGTTGCTTGCCTTGCGTTGTTTTTCCCAGTCAGCGCTCAGTTCAACATCGTCCGCTTGCCCAGAAAACAGAGCGCCGGATGCAGCTGCTTGAAAACGCTGCAGAGCATAGCTTCCATGTATGGATCTGCGCTTGGTTAACAAGATGGCGCGCCACTGTGCGTTGTCAGTGGCGGCAGCTATTCGTAGCGAACCTATGGAGTACGGCACGTAAAGTTTTGCACTACACTAAATCAACTTTGCATGACAGGCTTTTTCTAAAAAAATAAATTAAAAAATTAAAAAAAATTAATTACGGGACGTTCCACTTTGCTTTACACTGTCGCCGATTTGGACTGGCAAAGGTGTAGTTGGTTAAATAGACCCAATAAAGAAACGTTAATAAACTTTAAGCCTAAATGACGTTTAGCCATCCTGGAATCGTCGTTACACTATCAAATAATTTACACCACCGTCAACAAGAATAACTGCAAGGCGTCATGGTTTGGTATGAGAAGTGATCAATGTACTTAGTGGAAACAGGACATGCCATTACTATAATATCCTTTGCATTGATGCGAGCTAAGTTTCATAGCGGCTCAAAAACGGCAAATGATATCGAGCACGACGAAAAGCTAAATATATTGTGTGGCGGTTGTAGACATGCTATTTGAAGTGCAGGTGATTCTGACAGTGATAGCCAACAATAATAAAGAGACTGTGTCAAGATCACTACAGGTAGAATAATCTTTTTTTTACATTGTAAGTATGATGCTAGGGGCTTAGGTTTTTGTAGTAATAATTGCACGGCTTACTGGGAACTCAGCCTTTTGTAGCGAATGGCCTAAATTAAACCCAAATTTATGACATTAAAGAAGTCGATTTAGGCACATCGGGGCTCATAGTTTTTAGAATAATTATCCATCCGAAAAGGCAAACAACTTGAATAAAAGCCTAAACTACCGCCGCTACGCGGCGGCGCTCGGCTAGTGTGATAACTAAGGGAATTCGGTGAGTAGTACTAATGGAGGGGCACGTTTGTTCGAAACAGTATTATAACACGCTTCGATGGCCACGCCATAGCGTTTTTTTCATCTACTTACAGCCCGCCTGTCGACTTCTGCCGCGCCAGCTTCTGTGCCTTGAGAGAAGCCAGAGTGGGGCGCTCAAACTGAGACTTGCCGAGCTTGCGGTTCACGTAGTACACACGACCCGTCGAGCGCGACACCTTCGCCTCCCAGCCGACGGGAAGAGAGACTTCCGGCAACGCGTCCAGGTTGAACGACTCGCGCACAGGACGATCCGCCGGCGTTGTGGCCGGCTTCACCTTGGCGCTCTTCGAGGTAACGACCGTCGTGGACGCAACGTTGTCGGACGGGTTGGTGTTCTCCTCTGGTTTGCTGTTTGTGCGCTTGCTCCGGTTGTCGTACATCCCCTTGACGACCGACATGCGGCCCTTCAAACTCGACATGGCACCAGTCACGCCCACTTCCATGCTCTTGACAATCGTGTTGCGCGTGGAAGAACTGTTGGTGGGGCTGTCCTCACCTTCAACCTCCGAGACGTCGAAGCCGTCCCCACTGTCTCCCTTTTTGTTCGTGTTCCAGAAGCGAGAGCCTACACTCATGCTGGGCATGCGCGGGAAGTGGCGCTCGGACGGACGCGTCTCTGATGATGGGCGGTTAAGGTCGTCCGAGCCGGTGAGCGAGTCCATCAGTACAGTCTCACGAGGTTTCTTCTCTTTCTTGGAGCCCAGCGTGCGGAAGATCGACTTCTTCGGCGTGGGTTTCTTCTCGGGAACAACACCTTCAGCGTGAAGCTTGGCGATCTGCTCCGTCAGCTTCTTGTTTTCGGCCTCGAGCTGCGAAATCTTCTTGTCCTTGTCACGCACAGTATCTTGCAGTTGGCGAACCTTGACGTGGTTGCCAGCTGAAGAGAACTCCTTGTCGCTCTTGAACTTCTCGATCTCGGCCTTCAAGCCCTTCATAGTAACCTTCATGTCCTCATTCTTCTCACGCAGCTTCTTGTTCTCGTCTGTAAGAGTCTCGATCATACCGCCAGCATCAGCCATCACAACACTCGAAGCAGCAGAGGAGTCCGCCGTCGCGACGCTGCTGCGACGCTGCAGCTGAGCATTCCGCTCCTGTTCTTCCTGCAGAGCAGCCTTCAGCTTGTTCAGCTGGTACGCCATGTCCGCCTCACGACGCTTCTCCTCGAGAGCAGCTAGATATTTCGGCCGCTGAATCGTCATACGAACCATAGCCTGCACACGAATGACCATTTCGCGCATCTTGACATAACGGTGACGCTTGACAAATCCACGCATATACCGCTGAATGATGACAGCGTTGTGGTTACTCTTGACTTCCGCAGCTACCTTGCGGCCCTGCATGCCTCGCCAGTGAGCCTGCGCTGAAATGAGGCCCTTCATGAACGTGTTGTATCTGCGCATAGCGATTACACACCGAATAACCGACTGCAACTTGATGATTGCTTCTAGCTGTCTGAGGTACTTGATACGCTGCGTAAAGCCAACCATGATGTTCTGTACGTACGTGGCCTTGGCATCCAGGAACTTCTTACGGCGGTCCTCAAGCTCTTCGAGCACACCTAGCTGGAAGTACACACGAGTCTTACCCATCTGATACTGAGTTGGGGATTCCAGCTTGAGCTTGTCCATGAGCAGCTGGCACTTGTCTGCAGCAGTCTCGCCACCACTCGGCACGAACAGCCAGAACTTGTCCAGGATCTCCGTGTGCTGCAGCCGGTTCGGGTACGCTGCACGGGAGATACGAATGGCTTCAATCACACCGGCACATCGCAACTGGGACACCACCATGTTTTGGTCCATGGCAGTAGCGCTCTTGATCGGGTTGGGCTTGATGCAGCGTACGTAATGTACACGCGTCGAGTTGATGGTTGCCATCAGCTCCGTCAGACTCTCTTTGAATTGGGTACCCACGGTCGTGATGGACAGAGCACCGCCACGCTTACGGCGGCTACCTGACGCCTCAGAAACAGCTGACTTAGGCTCCGGCTTCGGGTCGAAGAGCTTGGCGATGAACGGCTTGGATGAGCCACGCATGAGCTCGGACAAGTCAGGCAGCAGTGAGTCCTTGTGCTTCTCCAGGAATCCCACCGAGTCGTACATGACAGGAGCGGCATAGTGCTTGATGAGGAACTCGGTACGAGACGTGCGAGGGAACTCAATAACGTGCGCCATATCATCCTTGTGCAAAGACGTCACCTTGGACATGAAGGACTCCTCACTGCCCTTCGGTCGCATCACCTCTTCGTTCAGCAGCGAAATGATACCCATGCGCGATTCAATCACAGTCAGCACGTCCTGGTTATCCGCGTACTCAATGTGGTCCCACACGATTCCTTCCTCCTCATACTCAATCTGCACCGTCTTAAACACATCCTGTGTGAATTTCTGCTGAAGCTTCTCGTTAGCGAAGTTAATGCAGAACTGCTCAAACGAGTTGTGCTTGAAATGCTCGAACCCGAAGATATCGAGCACACCCACGTGGTTGGCCATGTTGGCATCATCAGCAAGCGACTGGTTGATCGTAGCCACAAGCCAGTCGAACACGTTGGAGTAGATCGCTTTAGCGAGGGCGTCACGACAGTCCATCGCCAGCTCTTTTTTTAAAGGTACACTGTACACATCATTCACAGCACGCATAGTACGCGAACAAAGAGCCTTCTGAAGTGCCTCCCACGTGACACCAAGCATCTGAGTAGCACAATTCGCACCACCGTCGCCCTCAGCGATGAGAGACTTCTCATCATCTGCCGGGTCTGACTGCAGCTGTACCTCACCAAGGTGGAGCACTCCAGCCAGCACTTCGAACAGTGGCCGCTGGTCATCGCGAGACAGACCCACAAGCTCCAAGGCCTCGCGTGTTTGGTTGAAGTGTTTCTTGTCGGAGAGTCCTTCGATCTTCCGTGCCGTGTTGTCGCCCGTGTACACATAGTGCTTCGACGATTCGAGCTGCAACTCCGACGCAATGTCGGGCGAGTCAAGCAGTTGGTAGAAGATATGGTAGTTGCGTTCAGGCGCTTCGTGCTGGATGACACGCGTCTTTTCCAGAAGATACGTGCGGCACTTGGCACCGACAAGCGTGCCATTCTTGTCAAACTGCAGCTGTGTAAACTTGCCGAAACGACTGGAGTTGTCATTACGCACAGTTTTGGCGTTACCAAAGGACTCGAGCAGCGGGTTTACTTCGATAATCCTCTTGATGGTGGAGTTGTTGAGACCGCCTGCGATGGTGGCCAGGTGGTTCATGAGGATTTTGGTGGTCTCGGTCTTACCAGCACCGGACTCGCCACTGACCAGAATGGACTGGTTGCGCTCCGAGCGCCGCATGTTGTCGTAGGCAGCGACGGATGTGGCGTACACGTGCGGGGGCAGCTCCTCTTTGGGCTGGTTAAGGTAGCGGAGGTGCTGGTCTTCAGCGTAGAGGTCTGGGAGCCACTTGTAGGGGTTAATAGCGATGCAAATGTCGCCTGTGTACGTGTAGGGCAGCTCGCACAGGAAGCGCTTCTTGATGTTGAACAGGATGGCGGCCTCGTGCAAATAGTTGAGCGTGATCATGTCCTCAATGCCCTCGAGACCAACGTTCTCGTTCTGGTACGGAAGCGACTCGAGTTGATGCACATCCAGTAGCGCCTTTGTCTTCTTCGACAGCATGTCCACGCAGCGTTCCTCAGTCTCGCCATCGGGAAGTTCCACTTTGCAGTAGATCTTACGTGTCTTGCCATCGCCCGAGTTCTCATCACGCAGTACTTCAGCCGCAAGCCACACGTGCGTCTCATCCGGCACGAAGCACTTGGCGCCCGCCACCATCTGCAGGTCGCTCATGGTGTTTTCAAATCCCCTCGGCCCCTCTAAGAACTCAGGAAGCTGGCGTGGCAGACGGTCTAAAGCGGAATGGGTCGACTTGAGCCGAACGGGGAGCTGGCAAGATACCGCACAGTACCGGTAGGTGGAGCCATCTTGCAAGTGGCAACTCCATTTACTTAAGGTTTGTAAACAATCTTTGATCCGACAACAATCTGTGACGACATAGCCCGGCCAGTGCAGCTGGAAAGTCAACCGGCTGGGGGGATTTGATCGTCGGTGTTACCGACGGTGTGCGACGCAGTACAGCCTGTAGCCATGACCGTGTGCCTCCTTAAGAAGGCTGCCCGCCTCCTAAGGAGTACTTAGGCGGTGCTATTGCAGTGTGCGCCTTCATGTGCGGGGTTTCTTACCTAAAAGCTTCTCCACAAGGTTACAAAATGAAGCACCAGATCTCATTTGTTTGATGGTCGTTTTCTGCAAGGAACATGATTTACCGTCCAAGCACCGGTTTCTGCTGTTAACTTTGCCCCAAGTTGAGAACCCACTAAACTACATGTGCATATCTATCTAACTAAATGCCGTGTGTTGCCCAAGAAGCTCTGGATGCACTGTATTCCAGTACAGTACAGTGTAATTATTTGCCTCAATTACCGCTGTAAAAACACCTTTTATACTTGCAATTTAAAAAAAAATTACAGGATCATATCTTATGCATAGTGATTTTACGCAAGATCAGCCGCATAGCATATTGAAGGGTATAAGATTCTCGGTGTTCTTTATTTAGGCAGGTTAATGTACTAGTATCATTTAGGTGACGGGGTCACACAGCACCTTGCGCTAGAGGAAGTTAGCTTCCGAGAGTATACAAACTCTCAGTGAACGGCAGTTCACAGGTCCCCTCTTTATCAAAAGAGAGCGAAGTGACCTATTAAAGGTAGAAAGTAAACTGAGTATATTTATAGGTAGATAAAGCTTGGGTTTAATACAAACTATAAGTCACCTATAGAAATGCAATGTCATCAACCAATGGTTGGCTTTGGACGACCTTGGTACTTTGTACCAAATATCCCGAAGTATGACGTGTCATACTCCTGAAGTGTGACGTGTCACACTTCATGCAACCAGGGCACACTTAGGGCTACGTACCCTGTTACATCCTCTCCCACTTAAGTTTGGTTTACCGACCAATCAGAATGAAGAGGTGTTCGTCACAACCATTCATTCTCAAAGTCAAAAACCATCGACTTGGCCGCGCGAGCGCGGCGGAGGCTCACTTCACAGTTAGAGCCTCGAGCAGCAGTCTGTGCGCTCATCTTCTAGGTCTTCCACTTCGACCGTTAGCCATGCCTCGTGGTACTGCTAAGAGCGGTGCGAAGACACGCTCAAAGGCTTCTGCCGGAAAGGCGCAAGCCAAGAGCACTAAGCCTCACGGCAAAGGTTCGGCACTTAAGAAGGCTACTCAGGTGGCCTCCGAGGTGATCGGTTCATCGGGCGACGCGGCTGTGGGCAAGCAAACAAGCAAGCGCCGCAGCCCGTCGCCCTCGGCCTCTCCAGACAATCGTCCGAACCCTCGGTTCGTAAGACGTGAGTTCGACTCTGGCAGTGAGGACGAAGCCGAGTCCGGGAGCACGCACGATGCTCCTGTGGTGTTGGAAATCCCACGTGAACTCTAGCTACAGATGTAGTTAGGATGTTCCCACAACAATACGTCTACTAGGATAGTAAACGATCGTTCGGGCGGACCTGAAGACCCCAGTTCTGCCCTTGCACCGGGACAAACTGGACCTTGTAAACTACTTATATAGGCCAACCAGTAAAATAAGAACACGCTACTAGCACGAGCAAAGCTAGCAGGTGTTTTGAATCCTCGTGGTCCCAACAGCGGAAGGGTACCAGGCACGGGTAAGCCTTTTACGAGATCACCGAGTGCTCAACACTCGGCCAGAAGAAATAAAAGGGAGGCAATTCAAGCACTCCCAGTCGTACAAATAGGCAACAATAAGCCGTCACGTAAAACCTCCCGATAATAATCGGCCAATACACAAAGTCTCTTGGCCTTGCCGGATGAACCCTCGCTACAGAGCTTCGAGTTCACCGACAGGCATAACACACTCAAACAAGCTTGACCTGACGCTTACCTTGAAGCCGGACGTCGCTCTGTGTGCTTGAGTGGAAATTCTGTTCTGTATCTAAGCTTACCCTTTCGGGTCTATTCCTAATAAGAAGTCCTAATCAAGTATACAAATATCAAGTGAACAATGATCCGTTATGGATCTTCTTGCATGCCAAGCGTCGTCTGCACCGTCGCATGAGCATCTTTAACGGTCCGCGCCCTGTCCCAGACGGTGAACGTGTCTTCCAAAGGTCGCTGAGTATTCCGCGAACTCATCCCAACCGCCACTGAGGGTTCGTACCGTAGATGGTCCGCTGAATGCGAATCCGGCCAGTCCATTAATAATAATAAGGACAGCCTGGATTCAGTGACATAGGGCCGTATCCGATACTTGTTGAAAACTCGGAGGTGACGCCGTCGAGTCCCTTGCACCTTGGCGTCTCCGTACATCACCCGACCGAGGGTTCGTCGCTTGAACAACTTGGGCGGTGTCACGTCTTTGTCGACGGGTGATAATCCGCAACCACGGAGAAATCACTACACCACAACTGCCCCTGTCGCAATGGAAGCCACGGTACTGGTGCCCGTTGTGACATTTCTTCATTCTTCAATTCACCATCTCGCCACCGTATGTCCAAGCGTCTGAATCGAGCCGTGTCCGACGCTTTTCAGCGTCTCAATCCTCGTAGACGTCGCGAACGTGAACAGCTGGAGGTACGTCAGCTCATCCTTCTCTTGAATCATTGGCACTTGCTCATCATCTCGCATTACTCGACTTGTTTCTCAGGAGGGCAAGGCCGAGGGTTCGAACGTCCCTCAGTCTGCTACACTTCCTCCGACAGCGGCGTCATCAACTGGTCCTTCGGCGCTTCCTGCCCCAGACTCTTCACTCCCTGCGGTAGCTCCTGCAGCACTCCCCGTCGTCGCTGAATCCGCGGAGATGGCTCCTGCTGCTCCTCCTGCGCCTGCTGGTGGTACACCACCACTCACCGAAGATTCGCTGCGCGCTATGCTGGCTGAAAGTACGGAGGCATCGGTCGATCACATGATGACCTCGATAATTTCGTACTTGACTGCAATGTCACGTCACCAAGTGCAGCTCAGCGTTGCGCCTCCTCTCCACGGCAATGTACACACTCAACGTCGCCTCGAGACTGCTGTTGGTTTCGATGATGTCCTCGCTGCATGTTCCACGACGTTCTCCAGCATCTCAGCTAACTGTTGAGGTGTCCCGCGTGACTTCGTTTGCAGTGGTCGCTCTCCGGTCGGCATTCATGTTTTCTTATTCTTAATCCACTTCCACAGCGTAATCATGTTCATGTTGTTCTTCAAATGCATATACAATTTGTTGTTGCAGTAACGTTTTTCGTCTGTTACCACAGGCTGCATCGCCCTGTGGACAGTTCACACGTGATCCAGTCACGCTAGTCTTCGTCCGCCACTTGCGCCATCTGCAGCCGATTATCGCTCTTCTTGGCTCGCAAATAGTCGTACAGCAGACCTCCACATGACAAGTTGGATGATGGTTCCCAAGTTGGATCTTCATAGCCAACCCACTTGACTTTGAACTCGCGTACAGCACGCTCCGTGCTCGTCGTTAGTGGTGTTCTGTCGTCGAGGATGGCCTCGACTTCATATTCCCCGGCAACTTGGTCTGGTTCCCAGCTGTCCTCAGGCAGTAGTTCCTCATCGAAGTCGAGTCTTGCTTCATTAGTCGCGTCAAGTACCAACCGAGTGTTCGGTCGACTATTGAATTCGTTGACAGCCTTGAGTCTTGACACATGCACTACTGGGTAAAAGCGATACCCACTCCGATCAGGCAGTTCCAGCTCGTACGCAAACTCTTCCACCTTGCGCTTGATCCGAAAAGGTCCATGCCATCGGTGAGCTAATTTCTTCGTCAAGCCCGGTTTGACGCGTTCCATGTACAGCCACGCCCGGCTCCCAATCTCGAAAAGAGATCTCGGTGGGGCTCTTGCAGGATCTTCCATCTCTTCCGAAGCTTCTGGAGGGTCCGCCGAGTCTTCGTTTCCACTTGGTTGAGGTACAGCAGCTTTTTCCAGTCGACTCAGAGCATCATTATGCTTTTTAGCCCTTCGCTCCTTTTCTACAGCCTGATAATCCTTGGCCATAGTGAGGGCGACCTCATGTTGTCGATTGATCTCACGCCGCCACGCCAGTGCGTCAGACTGCTTGCCGAGTCCTCGTTTGAGTGATGACGACATTGCCCGCAACGTCGACTGCGCATCCCAACCATGAACGAGGTAGAACGGCGTTTCCTTCCTCGAAGTGTCTTGAGAAGTATTAATAGCAAATACTAGCTTCTCCGCGATTTCGTCCCAATCTTGCTGTAGAGGGTCTTCCGCGTACACCCGTACGGACCCCATCACTGACTTCACCGCGCGTTCCTGCTGTCCATTAGCCTGTGGCCGATAGCTCAAAGTCGCTTTTGATCTTGACTGCATCATCTCTGCGAACGCTTGGAACACCTCGCTCATGAAGCGTGGGTCGCGGCCATGCCTTATTAATGATGGGGCTCCGAACCGTCGGTACACACATTCTTCGAACACTTGGGCAACACTCAGTGCAGTCGTATCTGACATAGCCTTGGCAATAACGAATCCCGTGTACGAGCACTGAAATAGGAGCAACGCCGTGTTGCCCCTACGAGATTTCGGTAGTGGGGTCATAAAATCCATCGAGACGATCTGGAAAGGTCGTTCGGCTAGCACGTTACCAGGTGAGTATCCACGAAGCTGTGGACGGCTTTTACTCGAGCTGCAATCTGGACATGACTTCACATGCTTCTCCACGTCAGCGTACAAGCCGATCCAATAATAATCGGACTTTACGCGTTGGAACGTTCTCACCGCACCTTGATGTCCTCCTTCCAGCGAGTCGTGACAGTTCTGCAAGACTTCTTGAATCATCGTTGTCGGTACCACAAGCCGCAGCTTGGT